TGGATCAATTGTCAGATTTCCTGTTCGTTGTGTGTTGATCGAGGGAGCTTAACGGACATCGTGGGTGGGGATTAAGTGGACAGGTATATCTTAGTTCATCGATGGGTTGCTATTGTTTGTGCGACATCGCCTGAGCAAACCGGAGGCCTCGGGGAATTGGTGGTGATGAGATTAGGTTTTTGAGGTGTTCATGGCATCATTATGGTTTATCTGATCACTCCGAAATGTATGGGCGGATAGGATGCGGAGGTGCTGCCTCAAAAGACTTGCCTGGCATTTGAATTTGATCTATAAAGCACTATTTGCAGCAAACTTTCAACAATTGCGGGGATAGCTCAGTTGGGAGAGCGTTAGACTGAAGTTTACTTCGATCAGAATAACCTAATAGGTTATCTAAAGGTCGCCGGTTCAATCCCGGCTCACCGCAATCTTTTTGCACCCATTCTTTTTTTACACTTACGCAGAGGAAGTTGTGCAAGTCCACATAAGACAAAAGTTCTATACTATAAGTAGCTAATACATAAATAGTCAACATTCCTAAAATCCAGTTACTCTCTTGTCAGGACATTCTTGGCTCTGGGCCATCTAAAACTCCTGTTTATAGTCTGGAATGTGTTTAGCACAAATATTAATAGAATAATCTATTGTGATCGTAGCTACGCTATGGAGCTGCTACGAGTAGGACTACCTTACCGTAGTCCTCGCTGATCAGTAGAGACATCCTGTATTCTGCACTACGGGCTAAACCCTACACTGCTCAGCTACCGTGTGTATATAAAGGACACAGCGACCCCTACCTTACGTAGGAGTCGGGCAACTCTTTACCTCTCATAGCACCCGCTACTTTCAGTCACACTATTTCAGATATAGAATTGAGCTACCTTCTTCAGGAACTCTCGCCCACTGACAAAATCGAAATTTGTTTTTACCTTGAGGAGACTTTAGGGACAGAATTACTCGAGGATCTGTGCTATTGTCAGGGATAGACTAAATGAGGACCTTGATGGCAGCGTTCTTTGTGCTGAGATGGAAAAAGAGGGACTGATGAGCAGCTTCCCGTACATTATTTTCCAGGGCATTTGTTACTACGCGGATCTGCATAAAAATAAAAAAAAAATAGCAGATTTACTGTGGCTAAAGCGGCAGTATTTGCCGGAGAACTTCTCGAATATATACTCGCAGGCGAGTGATGTTGGCGGGGAGAAAGCAGTGGAAGACATAGCCAATGTTGGTAATTCAAGCCGAGCCATATTCAAGTTTTCTAATTCTAGAGGTTCATGGCGCCGTATCCACAGCAGGAGAAAGCATGACAAGGATGAAGTCTTAGTGTGGGGGGAGCAATGAAGATTGGGATCGTCAATTGGCTTGTTAAACGGACTATGCTGCTCAGCACAACAGTCTTGTTCGCATGTGACAGGGAAGGACGGGAGAATGGCTGCTGCCAGGTTTATATGGGTTCCAGGAATGGTTGGGCCAAGAAGAAAACAGACACTCCTCTGTCCTGGGGCCGGGAAGGCCACGCTAGCATCTATCATTAATAAACACTCCGGGCAGAATTTCTGGGTGATAACGGCATCGCTATTGGATACACATGTTGCTCCTACCAGCCACAAAAAGAATAAAGACCCGAGAATAAACCATAGATCTAATCTCGAGCCTCCTAGGGCAGTTAGCATACGAACGACCAGTTATCTCCCGATATTATGGATTTATATATACAGTATACAAGCAGAGGCTCCCTGCGTGGCCGGTGCTTGTTATTCTATTCTGCGGCCCGCCGCCTGGACACTTATAAGTGTCCTAATCGTCTCTGTTAGATCACATTCACGTATTCAAGGGGGAGGTGACAGTATACGTAAAGGGTTGGCCTTGATATATGCCATTACTCTGTAGAAGTAATTACCTGCAGGGCTGACTCGATGTAGCATGCAGAGACCTGTACTAACGAGACATATATATTTGACTGTTACCAGGACGTTGAAGTAGGTCCTTCCATGAGTATAGCCTTATTGAATCAATGGTATCCAGCCTACAGATAGCCAAGCCAGTTAGTAGTTACTAGAACGTCCCTACAAGTTACGTATCTATGTAAGCTAAATTTGGTAGCCATAGATATGATAATTAATGGTCTATGCTTGGTGAGCTGGGCAAATATTACGTTTTGCATTATATTGTCAAAATGGAATCTTTTTTTCCGTAAATTGCGGGGATAGCTCAGTTGGGAGAGCGTTAGACTGAAGTTTACTTCGATCAGAATAACCTAATAGGTTATCTAAAGGTCGCCGGTTCAATCCCGGCTCACCGCAATAGCTTTTTTTGTTTGTTGTAAACATTCCTCATGCTTTAATATGAGGCATTGAACAAGGGCTGATGCTACCTGCCGCTCCTCCTTGAAGGATTTTTTGTTGGTCAATTAAGCTTCCCACCAAGTGTTCTGAGTTACATATACATGGTTAATGGTGCGGGCTGCGTGCCTATCTCTTTCGTATACCCGTGGTAGGCTTTAATCCCTAGATTACCAGGTGGGGACCTCGATATGTTGCCAATCCCATCTCATCTCTACATATAAATACCCAGTGTCATTATGGCTCGTCACAGCCTAGGCCTAAGAGGGCAGTGTCCACCTACACAAGATTGAGAAGGTAACCATGTGGGAGGTACGCTACATTGTATACTCCATTGATTTGCTGATTTCATGTTGCTCTACTGTGGATACTACCTCGATGTCAGACGTGTGTATCTGTATAACCATAGCTGCTGATAGAAACATTTGGACCTAGCTGCAATATCTCATCATCACCAAGGCATGCCTGTAGCTTTATGTGGCCTACGAAGAGGGTGTTATATTCAAGATAAAATTTTCCAAATGTGTATTTACCTAGCAGAACCTACCTGTCACAGACCATCGCCAGAGACCAATAAAGACAAACAACGAAATCAATCACTGGGCACTAACAACACTGCTCACCTCAACAATGCTCTGGAAAACAATCAGTATTAATGACAGCCACACAAATATTCAGGTATAGGTAGGGTAACTCACAGGACCACGGTTCGAGGTAGTCTCAAAGGACTCAGTCTCATAGCGATAAGACCCGCCTTGCCTTCCACCAGATTTCACATACTCAAGGTAGGCAGGAGCACCCGGGAAATCCGTGTTATCAGCAATGACTTTGGAGCCCTTCCTGAACAAGCCTAGATCCTCGCAAAGCTGCAGATCCGGGAGGTAGAACTGCTCCCAGTGGTCGAAAAAGGCTACATCCACGCCTCCCTTCTCTACCTTCCCCTCTTCGAACAGTCTTATCAGTAAGTCTGCAGCTGGTCCTTCGAGAACATGCACGGTGTCCTCTAAGCCTGCTAGCCGAATGAGATTCCGTGCAACACCAGCGTTGACCGGGCTCAGCTCAAATGTGTATACATTGACGTCAACCGCGTTATCTGTATTGTTGAGTTCACGCAAGATGACGCCCCAGGCGATGGCCGAGGCACCAACATATCCACCAAATTCAATAAAGGTCCTTGGGGTTGGCTGAATCTTTGCTATTTGCTGCCTGGAAACTTCAATCTTGGCATTTTTGAAAGTCATCATCCGGCTTTCATCCGCGAACTCGTTGATGGCGTTCACCAGATCCCAGGGCTTACCGGCGTAGGTATCCTCTGGCTTTGAGAATATGTGCTCATGGAGAGCCCTGGCCTTGGCTTCGATAATCTGGTTGGTATCCATGAGTATCAAAGGATTATGGGAACGTATAAAGCAATGGACTCACTTCTTCCTTGGACATTTTGGATTGCTCCTGGTGCCTGAACTGGAGTTGGTAAATGTGTTCTAATGCCCGTGGGGATGCTAGGTAGATTGTCTTTGTTTTCTCAGGGAAAGCTACGTATTTATGTCTCTAGACTCTCATACTTCGGAGTTTACAAACTTACATTAGCATACTCAGCCTCGGACGATATCACCTAAAGTATACTACGTCTTACGTATGCGAGCTATAGCAGTGATGACGAAATATCCAGATGTGTCCTGCAAGCTACGGGCGAAAACCTATGGATGAAGTCCATATCCCGTGCCTCTCAGGACACATGGACCAAGAAACGCAATTGATAGTTATAAACAAGAATTCCAGCATTGTATTGTATTCCAATTTAGCCCCCGTAGTAGAATAGTGACAATAATTGTACCTAGAACACAATTCATAAACTAACCTGGCAATAAGGTGCTATCATTTCTGACAATGTCATGTAGTCGGACATAGAGATCGCTCGGATGGTGCATCTGATATCAAGTATCTCCGAGATCTACTTCGGCCTTCGGTTTTTACGGTCTTAATTTCTACTATAGTACTAGCGTAATGTCGGCCTCAATAACCAGATCGGATCAATGGACCCTTTGATAGAGTATATCCCATTTCGCAGGGCCTTCAAATTGGGGATTTGTCTGGCAAGATGTTGGGCATATATTTCTTAAAATAGTCTTTACTCATTTGCTGTGAGCCGTAAGCTATCGGTTAGGTGATGGGCATGAATGTTTTGACTAGGTGTGTCGAGTGGTATGATGTTGCATGGATACACCACAAAACAGCTTGGGAGATCAAGTGGACGTAGGGTATCTATCACTCTTCGGAATGATGAAGAACAACTAACCAATAATATCAGAAGCCTCATATGTAGAAAGATGTAGTCGGCGAGAATGAAGAGATTTTGGAAAGCAAAAGTTATGGGACAAGTCGGGTAAGGATATATATATTGATGCAGAAAAAATTATTGCGGTGAGCCGGGATTGAACCGGCGACCTTTAGATAACCTATTAGGTTATTCTGATCGAAGTAAACTTCAGTCTAACGCTCTCCCAACTGAGCTATCCCCGCAATTGTTGAATTTTGACTATTAAACGTGCTATACAAATCTCTGAATGGTGGCAAAAAAAACCTATTAGCATGTGATAACTACCGCGCGGATTGATTACTATACTTCCGAGGCTTTGGAAGACATCGGTTATTCTTTGGGGGGAATGAGCTTCAAGAAGAAATAGATGTAGTGCATAACTTCTTCAACAGCCAATTTGTTTCAAGTACATACCCAGTGATATACCGCGACCATGACGACCCTTTTTACAGTTCCAATTTCGTCTACCGGCGGAAGCTTCGTCTGCTCCAACCCTACAACTTCGGAGAAGGAGAAGAATATTTACCTACTCACCTTTACATCTCCGAAGGACAACAGACTTACCCCGACATTCATAGATGCCTTTATACTTGCATTGGACATTATCGAGCACAGATACCCCAAAGGCGTGGTGATTACCACCAGTGGCATCCCCAAGTTCTATAGTAATGGACTAGATCTCGAGCTTGCCCTCAGCACGGAGGGCTTTTTGGATCAGTGGTTGTGGAAGCTGTTCCGCCGATTCCTGACGTTAGTAATGGCTCTACATGCACTCGTTGTCTCCTCCCTGACTGAATGGTATGCTAATCGCAACAGATATCCCATGCCTACTATCTGCCTCTTGAACGGACACGCCTTTGCTGGCGGCCTCATGCTGGCCATGTATCACGACTATCGGATCCAGAACCCTTCCAAGGGTCTTCTCTGCATCAACGAATTGGAATTTGGAGTCCCGCTCCAATCGCCTATGATGAGCATATTCCGAGAGAAGTTGACACCCTCTTCATTCCGGGACCTCATCCTCGAAGCAAAGCGGTTCGGAGGTCCCGAGTCCGTCAAGGCCGGTCTTGTAGATGGTGTGGGCGGGCTAGAAGAGGTTTTGACGCTTATCCGGGAGCGTGGGCTACAGAAAAAAGCGGCCACTGGTATTTATGGGACCATGAAAGAGGAAATGTACCGTCATTCGCTGGATATCTTGGATGGACATGCTGCCAATCTGGCTTGGAGGGAACAGTTGGAAGACAAGAAGGACCGGGCGCAAAGGGGTAGTTTGAAAGCTGTTGAGGCATTTGAGAAGCAGAGGAGTGCGAAGCTTTGAATCTTCTTTGCTGAGATTCATTCTATTCTGATAGAGCGTGAAGCCAAGATATAGCCCTATTTGTATTTATGTGCGCGGCTCCATGCTTGTTAGAATTTAATTGTATATAGCTCCTCTATTCGAATATTTGACACATAGGATGCTACTACTCACGGAAAAGCCCTGCCCCTGTCTTGGTAAGGGTGCTTTACATTATGTGTTCAATGCCTCCAAGTAGAAATATCCACAGAATATTAGTCTTCTGAGTAACATCACACCTACCTCTCTTGTTTTCATTCCCAGAACCTGCATGAGTATTGGTGGATCACCACGTGAGGCTGTGGCAGTTGGATGAAAAGCACAGCCTCTTTGCCACGGCATATTTAGGATTGAGCCACGCCAACACATATTTATAGTACTATTAGGGATGGTGATTTGGCAATTGGTGTCAGTGACCTAATAGTGCCTAATGGAAATCTCTCTTGCTAATAAATTCTATTAAGTTTTAAGGTGGTTACCAGCTTTTCTGACTGCACACAAGTAACGATACTCCCCAGTGAAAGAAATTTATTAACGGGACTCTTAGGTTTCTCTATTTATATCCGCATTTCTTTGTGCCGCCATTGGTGTCTAATAAAAATAGCTGCCTGGACGTTTCTTTCCCAATAACTGTTGAAAGGCCTTAATCACGTGACGGTTTCCCCGACAGAACCGAAACAACCGTAATTCCAAAGGCGGGCGGCAATTCATCACACCCTGTCAGCTTCACGCCAGTAACGTTTTCCACCCTCTCCTTACATCCATCATCCGCCCAACTTCCAAGAATCCGAGCTGTTCATCCGAGGCTCTCATCGCACGCCCGTTCGCGTATACTTACGGTTTTTGTCTTCCCTCGTCTCTCGCAACCCCGTGAAAGGAGAATCCAGCAGACTCCGCCTTTCTCCCGCTAGGCATCTGGTGATCCACCAGGTTCCCCGATCTCAGTTCTGAACGCTTCGCATTCACCGCATCAAATAACCATGTCTGAACAACCTTACGACCCCTATATTCCTTCTGGCTCTACTGCCAACGCCCCGGCTGGGGCCAGTGCCGCGCAGAATGGCGATCCCAGGACAAGGGAAATCGACAAGGTATGTTGATTAGCTGTCCCTGCCATATCAGTCGCGCAATCCTTCTCTCTAGTGGTATGAGATGTGGGTGGCTGTCTATGCCTAAGTCTCTTTTCCGGGACTTGCATTAAAATTATTGCATCCAGCATCCACCCATGATATTCGGTGTTGCGTTTATTTTACCAGAATGGAATATTATAGAAACTCATGCTAACTTTAATTTTCCGCTGTAACAGAAAATCCAGGAGACTGTGGATACGATGCGGTCAAATATCTTCAAGGTTTCCGAGCGTGGTGAACGTCTAGACTCCCTACAAGATAAGACCGATAACCTGGCCGTATCGGCTCAGGGTTTCCGCCGGGGTGCGAACCGTGTGCGGAAGCAAATGTGGTGGAAAGACATGAAGATGCGCGTATGCTTGGTGATTTGTGTCATCCTCTTGCTTGTGGTTATTATTGTGCCTGCTGGTAAGCCCTGCCTTTCATCCTCCCACCCGGTGTATTTGCTGCACGGAAAATACGACCGAATGCGCTAACATCTGTATGTTTAGTTGTCACTGCCAAGCATTAATGAACGCAGTGACGGTCATGTTTGTCTTGGGAATGGATGTTTTTTTCAGCTGGTTTATCTGTATTTGAGACGGTGAAGCTTCGATTTCAGCCACTAATACCTCCTGTTTTTCTCGGGCGTCCGCCATGTTCTCACGACTAAACTCTTGTCTCTATACGCCATTGACGCTATGAGCCGATTGAATATCGGACGAGGCCACGCCCTATGATACGTCGACGGTGAAGATGTAAATGATACTCTGCTGTTTTCTCATGCTCGAGTACGCGAGCGCGATTTTTGCCTTTTTTTTTTTTCCTTTTGTTTTTCTTATGTGGACCTTTCCTTTGTGTCGTTCCCTAGCCTTTAATGAATAACCCTCTGTGTATTTCGTCTCATACCCATGGATTCATTACGTCGTAACAGCTCGTGTGTCTCAGTTATTGCAGCACAAGTCATGAAGTAAAGACAACAATATATTTGCAATAGGTTGCTAGTGATGTTTAGGGTATATACTCCCGAGGGTGCAAGGGTTAAATACTAGTTCGATGCTGGGTCTTCGGAGCAAAACTTGCAGGGTCATTGACCTATTGACTTGGGAGGAGTGGATCGGGCTGCTTAGGCTGTTCTGATATATTAGGTAAACGATCAGATAACGAAGGACCCAGTGCACTATGGAATGACACCTGATGATGGTATCTGAATAGAGCTCCATTTTGGGAGGAAGGAGCGACTTTTATTCGCTGTGGGACATGAAGAACCGAGCTGTAAAACACCGAGGCGAGATCTGATAATCCTAATAAAATCGACTGGTCTAACTAATTGAGGAGAGATCCACGGGATCCTGCAATATCATCATTGTTTTTTTTTTTTTTTTTTTTTTCATTACGTGGGATGGAGACCGTTGGGGCCCAAAAAAAAGTGTGAGATAGAATCTTTCTCTGATTCATTGCCATTTTCGTTTCTCTGAGTCACGCCGCTCACATAATAATCGTCGGCTCCGAAAGTCGCAAGCCAATTCAGGTACCGGAGTGCTAGTATTGATTTGCCGATCGATCAATTTTCTCTTTCCTCCCCTGCTTACTCTCCCTCTCCTCCCAACGGCTTCTGCTCATTGATTACTATCTTTTCCTTAAGTGGTCATTGCAAACCCCTCAGGTTCAGTACTGGTGTTCCCCGTCCATTTTTTAGGGAAAGGAAAATCTCGCAATTTGAGGGAAATACCAGGTTGTGACGAAGGCTAAAATAAAATACGCTAGTGAGTGACCGCCCCCGAAAATGTAAGGACCCAAAGAAGCAAAAAAGCCACTCCGAGCGCGGATGGCTGACGATAATCCCATACATTCATTTCTTGGAACTTGGGGTGCGGCAAATTCCTGAGAGCCCGCAGTACCTCCACTTTTTACTTTCTTTTTCCCTCACTACTTATTACTCATAACGCCAACCTTGTCTTTTGTCCTCTTGAAACACTGACCTTCTCGCTCCCCTTCCCCTCCCAGACTCCCAGACGTAGGCCTTGAAGCTGCCGCATGCTGGTTGGCAAGATGTTCTCCCTTCGCACCGCCGTGCGGAGAGCTTCAACCAGCAAGCCCCTCCGAGCCTTCTCCGCACCGCACGCCATTTCATCCGCGAGACTAGGCGCTCGTAACTCCCTGAAGGCTTCCGCCGTCCCGTTGCTGCAGGGTCGTCACTATTCCCGCGCCGCTGACCCCCAGCTTTCGTCGACCCGCTCCACAGTCGTCCAGCTGCTGAGCAATATCGGCTCGAAGCGTGAGGTTCAGCAGTACCTCTCTCACTTTACGTCGGTTTCCTCCCAGCAGTTCGCTGTCATCAAAGTCGGCGGTGCCATTATCACCGAACACCTCCAGACTCTTTCCTCCGCTCTCGCTTTCCTGAACCATGTCGGACTCTATCCGATTGTCGTCCACGGTGCCGGACCTCAGCTGAATCGCATGTTGGAAGACGCCGGTGTGGAACCGCAGTTCGAGGATGGAATCCGTGTGACTGATGGCAAGACCCTGGCTCTTGCTAGGAAGCTCTTCTTGGAGGAGAATCTGAAGCTGACCGAAGAATTGGAACGCATGGGAGTGAGGGCCCGCCCTCTCACTGCAGGTGTCTTCTCGGCCGACTACCTCGACAAGGAGAAGTATAACCTGGTCGGTAAGATCAATGGTGTCAACAAGAAGCCAATTGAGTCTGCTATCGAATCTGGCTGTCTCCCTATCCTGACCTCCATGGCCGAGACTCCAGATGGCCAGGTTCTGAATGTCAACGCCGATGTGGCTGCCGGTGAGTTGGCGCGTGCACTCCAGCCGCTCAAGATTGTCTACCTTGCTGAGAAGGGTGGGCTCTTCAACGGCGACACGGGCGAGAAGATTTCGGTGATCAATCTCGACGAGGAGTACGACCACTTGATGACCCAGTGGTGGGTGCGTCACGGCACCCGTCTGAAGATTAAGGAGATGAAGGAGCTTCTTAGTGATCTTCCTCGCACCTCGAGTGTTGCCATTATTCACCCGGCCGATCTGCAGAAGGAGCTTTTCACGGACTCCGGTGCGGGAACCTTGATCCGCAGGGGCAATAAGGTGCACACCAAGACCTCTATCTCGGAGTTTGAGGACCTGGACAAGCTCAAGGATGTTTTGATCCGCGACCGGGAAGGTTTGGATGCCCGTGCTACCGTGGAGCGCTACGTTGAAGGATTGAAGGAGCGTGATTTCAAGGTGTACTTCGATGAGCCCATGGAGGCCTTGGCCGTTGTCTTGCCTCCCCAGCAGGATGCTTCTTCCCCCTTGGCTCACTTGGCCACTTTCACCATTACCAAGTCGGGATGGTTGACTAATGTGGCTGACAATGTTTTTGCCTCCATCAAGAAGGACTTTCCCAAGCTTGTGTGGACTGTTAAGGAGGACGACGAGAACCTGACCTGGTTCTTCGACAAGGCCGATGGCAGCCTGAGCCGCGAGGGAGAGGTTCTCTTCTGGTACGGCATCGAAAGCGGTGAAGAGGTCAAGCAGTTGGTCCAGGAGTTCAACCAGCATGGCCGCCAGATGTTCGGTGATATCAACCTCGAGTCGAGGTTGCACCGCGCTGCCGAGGCCGCCACTAACATTGGCAAGGGCTTTGGCGCCAGCGGTGCTTCCGCTGAGCAGAAGCGTGCGTTCTCCTCTACCACCAATGCTCTGCGGTCTTCTCGGTTTGGACGCCCTTCGGTTTTCAGCAGGAACTCGGCTCGGGCTTACTCCACGACTAACCCCAACCCACCCCTTGGCGAGAAGAACATGTCTAACACCCAGCCGTCCAAGGTTGCTCTCATTGGAGCTCGTGGCTACACTGGTCAGGCCCTGATTAATCTGCTCAATGCCCACCCCCACATGGATCTGCGCCACGTTTCTTCTCGCGAGCTGGCTGGCAAGAAGTTGCAAGGTTATGATAAGAGGGAGATCATCTACGAGAACCTTAGCCCCGAGGATGTCAAGCGCATGTCTGCGAATGGCGATGTTGACTGCTGGGTTATGGCTCTGCCTAACGGTGTCTGCAAGCCTTTTGTCGACGCTGTCGATCAAGGCTCAGACAAGGGTAATGTCATTGTTGATCTGAGTGCCGACTATCGGTTCGATAGCAACTGGACCTACGGTCTGCCTGAGTTGGTCTCCCGCTCCAAAATCGCCCAGGCATCCAGAATTGCCAACCCTGGTTGCTACGCGACAGCGGCCCAGGTTGCTATTGCTCCCCTCGTCCCTCACCTCGGTGGACAACCTACCGTTTTCGGTGTTTCCGGATACTCGGGCGCTGGCACCAAGCCAAGCCCTAAGAACGATGTGGAGAACCTTACCAACAACATCATCCCTTACAGCTTGACTGATCACATTCATGAGAAGGAGATCAGCTCCCAGCTTGGCGCCAGCATTGCATTCATCCCTCATGTCGCTGTTTGGTTCCAGGGTATTCATGTATGTTCACCTATCACCCTTCTTATTCCCCTATTGTCTTCGACTGTTATTCAGTAGCAGAACTAACTCCCTCTAGCAAAGCATCAGCATCCCTCTCAAGGAGGAAATGTCCTCTCGTGATATTCGCAACATCTACCAGGAACGTTATGCTGGTGAGAAACTTGTCAAGATCATCGGCGAGCCCCCGGTGGTGAAGAACATTGCTGGTCGCCATGGTGTTGAAGTTGGTGGATTCGCTGTTCACTCTAGTGGCAAGCGCGCAGTGGTGTGTGCTACCATTGACAACCTGCTGAAGGGCGCAGCCACCCAGTGCCTCCGTAAGTTTTACTATTTGTCTGCCATCATTAATTTGTACCGTGCTAATTATTGGCAGAAAACATGAACCTCGCCCTCGGATATGGCGAGTACCAGGGTATTCCTCTGGAGTAAACAACCTTAAGTATACTCATCCCTATAACCTCAATATAGCGAAAGTGTAGGTATATGAACTATTTCGTGGACGGGGATTTTCGTTTCTTGAATTGAACAATGGTGTCATCTTTCTCGCGTGTCTCATACCCCGGGTGTCTCTCATCGGTTGCTATGGGTCGGTGATACTCCGCAAAGGGTCTCTTGCCTCAATTTCCATAGTCAACTTAATCATGCCTTATGTTTTCTTGAATATTTGGTTTCCCACTCATAGATGTCTCCGTTTCCCTTGTTCTCTCACTTGCATGGAGGAGGAATACTATATCGTGCCTGCAAAGCGGATCGGCGCTTATGGAAAGCAAAGAATAGAGGGATGATCAAAAGCAATTCGTCCCATAATCCTTCGGTGTATTGGCTCATGTACCTGTATCTCACGTCGCTTTTTTTTACTTTCTCTTCTTTCGGAGCTTCTGATACGGATATAAGGGTGTGGTCTGTAAATCGTTTTCGAGGATGCTGGTATGTATAGTACTGATCTTTCGTTCTAATTCAAAGTGATTGGGTTGTATAGTTTAGCTTCGTAATTGTTATACTTTCTATCAAGCGCTGTCTAGTACCTAGTAGTCGTGAATACTTTGGTGGCCATGTGTTCTGGGAAAATAGGCAGCCTCAGGATCCATTACGGGCAATGTCATTCTCAGGACCTGTATAGTTTCCCAAGTTCATGCTTGAAATGTATCATCCGCTCTCCACAACCTTACCAATTCTTCCCGACCACATTCAAGAATAATTACCTCAACGTTTGCAATCTAACTAACTCTCTCATACTGCGAGTGTCATTTCAAATATTGATGCAAGACAACGACATCTTGGCTTGGTGAGTGATAGATCTGAAATCCAATCGGGCTCAAGTAGTCAAGAGCATTGTTGTCTTATAGTATAGGCTGGGTTTCATCGGACCTTATTATATTGATAAAGAATCGGATATAAGGCACACTCCCCGAATATTATATCTCTCTACGACTCGGATAGCGCAGATCGATCTCATTCGGCGCGTCGTCTGCCATAAACGCGTGATATTGCGATGGCCCAAGTGGAGTCTGAGAAGAAGCTTTAGACTAGGCACTTATATTACGACTCTTGTTTACAGGATAGTGGGAATACAAAATGTTTTACAGTCATGAAAGTGAGTGGCGCCTTGTGGTGATTCACCCCGCTGGGTGGCTTGCATTCACCACATAACCCTGAGATCTCCAGTGTCTATTGGCAGAAGTATTGAGCTCTAATTGACATGTCTCTTTGTCCTAGTGCTCACGTCACCCGACCATGGGGTCGCCACGATATGGTATACAAACTTCCCTGTCAAAAGCTGCCCATACTATCATACATTAGCTATAAGCATAGCGTATTGATCAAAAAAGGTTCATATTGGCATTGGCTGACACCGATTTGCTTATAGGCTGGTCGCAACCTTAGGGTCAAAGTCGATTAGCAAAAAGCTCAATAGAAAAGTTATACTGGACGTCGACGTTCCGAGAGCTTGTCATGTTATTATGGACCCGGAGGCGCCAATGGCGCTAAGGCTCCAGGGCAATTTGCTGTACGGTTCCTAGTCAACATATAGAAAGTGAATTAGTAACCAACCGTTCTTATAGCTATGGAGTTTCACGCGTGTACAGCCAACAGTGTGGTTATGCTCTTACGGATGTCCAAGCAATGCACGATAGAATGCGAACACTTTTTAAAGTCCTACCCGGGGGTGGGCTAGATCCAACGGCTGGAAAGGCTAGGTACGTTATCCAGGGAAACGGCGTGCCAGTTAGGAATTATCTCGAAACATATGCTAATGTGATGAAATCTTAGGCCCGATCAACTTATCTTACCTTACGACTCGTCCTTTTTGCCAGAGTGCGATCTTCCAGGGATGGGGATGGATCTTTCTAAACTTAGTCTGCCCTTTGATACTACTGCAAGTCAGCAATCCGACCTCCTATGGCCGAAGACTCCAGACCTTAGCCAGTCTGCTCTCTTACGGAGCCCTAGCCTTCGATTTAGTTTCTCATACGATGATATGATATTGAAGGATGGTGGTGGAATTGATTCCGAAACCAATGTACCTAGCTCTGTCCAAAGAAGTATCGATCTGGGAGGCCTCGCAGCTACAACCTTTGCTGAGGAAGGTGGTATCCTTCTTCAGCCTGACTTTGAATTTGACGAGGATGGCAACCTCATCGAGCTTGGGGAGGCCTATCGCGAAACTGCGAAGAGGAAAACGAGTCGACACGTCAGTGAAGCACCACTTCTCGATGAAGCGATGAATATTGGATTGAATGACGTCGCGTTTGACTATCAGGTATGGTCTGTTAGGTTCAGAGATGAGCATTTTCTGACCTTCTCTACTTAGTCGATGCCAATCGACGAAGGGATAGATATTATCGCCAAGCATCAGGATGAAAGGCTAATTCATGCCAGTCGAGCTACTAAAAGACGCCGCAGTGAGTCTGAATCAACCGACGAGCTTAAGCTTATTCCAGATGAGACCGCGGCGACTGTGCCCCAGAAACGACGAGCCTCTAGATTGCAAATATTGGATGATCGAACTGCCTTGAGAAACACAGAGCTGGGTAATATGAACAGCGATTACGTGCAGAACATGGCTATAGCTTCGAAGCAGAAACGGCAGAACAAGCTCCCAACGCAAGCAAAAAAGAATGCCTCCTTCTGGGTTTTCGGTCAAGGAATTGGTTCAGTTGGGCTTGGCTTGGGTGCATCCCGTGTACCACATCCTTTGCAGCAGTTCTCAGGAGAGGGGCTCTATGCTGCGCTCAGCCCAACTGCAAGACGTAAAGGGCTCAAGCGGAGTCGCCTTCTTAGAGATGATAGTGAAGCAGATTTTGATGTGCGCTGTGTCCGTGCCAGAGAAGAAAACGAGGAGCAAGTTGGTCGAGGAGGGGTGGTCGATAACGATGACATTTGGCAAGATGTATACCAGTACCCTTGCACATGTGGTTGGATTGAATATTGCTAACAAAATTTGTACAGGTTGAAATTGGTCGCCATGCCCCATCCATTTTTCGTGATGACAACTCCTTCTCGTCTCAAATGCCATGGAATATCACAGCCTCTGTCCAGAGCTCCCAGCACGGATCGTCTGTTGTTAGTGGCCTCCGTGGAGTAGCAAATGTGATCGACCCTTCGGCTTCACGAGGCAGGGACCTCACTGCATCTCACCTTGCTGGACGCGGACGATCACGCAACCGTCTAACTAGCGCAAGTCCCCTAGCCAGTAGAGGGTTCCCCCTCGACGCAGAGGCCGTCGACAACTTGACGCTACCCGGAAATGATGACGTGGACGTCTTGAGTGACTTTGACCTGAGCCAGTATCTACAGACTGAACTATTCGGTGCTACCCATGGCAATACTGGAGATGACGCCAACGCAAGCACGTACAGTCGTCAGGTGACTCTTCAAGCTCGCCTACCGAAGTCCAGCCTGGACCAAGAAAGCCAGAACTTCCTTGGGTTTCTAACAAAAAAGCTCGAGGCCATGCCCGTGGAACACACTGGGGAAATGGATGAAGACGGTTTCATCAACTCACCGTCCGCTTACCATGGCAGCAAAGCAATCGGCTTTTCAGCACTTCTGCCACCGGCTGAAACCTCTGCTTCTGTAGCCACAGAGGGTTTGATGCATATACTCACACTTGCAACTAAAGGTTTCTTATCGGTCCGCCAGGATGATTATCAAGACCGTAGCACTCGATATCATATCCGATATGAGTTTGGAGAGATCTTTTTACAGCTATCAGAGGTGTAGTCCTACGATCAGCATCGTGTTCCGCCTTGACTTGCTTCTCTAGTATTTCTGCAATTGAATTACGGAAACAGTCATGGATACCCATCTGCACTTCCCTTATTGCTTATCTCTGGCTGGTAACCAGTAATTCGACTTCGATTCAACGTTCGGGATTTTGAAATGGAAACCACAATACCAGCATCTCATGGCATGACTTCCTCGCGCTACTGTCCCTGCCACTTTTCAATGTTTCTCGAGTTTCTTTTCTTCTTTCCGATATGTTCGTTTTGCCCCCGGACTCATTCATAGTTACACGCCCAAATCTTTTTAATTTCCGTAATATGCTCTGCCGAGCTGACATCACTTCTATCATAGCTTTCTCGTTATCTCACATTTATTTTTCTACCTATGCACAAATTGTACACATCGACAAGCACATACTCAGATAAAAAGTTTCCCTTCTCATTGTCTCTTTGTTTTATATTTCCAATAATATCATACTAAAATGTACAAAAAGGCGCAATGATAATTCCAAGCATACTAAATAAGGACCAAATTAAGACAGAACTTTGAAAGTCTAAATTTTAACAAGACAACGATACTACCAAACAGAGACTACAATATAAAAGCCCCCTCGATCTCTAAGATAAATTCGATATGTTGCCCATTTCATCGGATGACTAGTGAAAGAGAGCGAGCTTGTGGTACTAGTAGGAATAATAAATACGTGCCCGGGTAGGAGTGTTGAATGGGATGAAAAAGACGAAAAGGAAACGGCCCGAGCCGCGGAGAGGGACATCTCGCATATATGCTAAGGGTGGTGAACCCTACGCGAGAATCATACTAATTTCTGTTAGTTGAGGGATGTTTTGGCAACCAGGATGAGAGAGGCCTACCCATAAGACCACCCGGGCGTTCGTTGTTGAAGAGGCAATCAACATTTTGTTACATATTCAACAATATTTCCACCACTATTCTTATCTCTTAACACATCTATTGCATATCACTCAATCTGGTCAGGCAATTATTCAGTATTATTGACATTTACATGTACTAGAATCTACTGCTGACGGAGTCCAGCCTTTTTTCAAGAGTGATAGTGGCCATGGATTATGCAAGCATAACTTTTGCTATGTCGCGGCGTTGCTACCATACAGCGTATATATTTTCGCCCGGTGCATGATGATATAGGGCTAGTATGTAGACGAGACAACCCACCTTACGCGTCTTTCCTCCAATTACTGTCCTGCAAGCAAGGAAGCCGTTAGACAGAGGTGTGAGCTACGACTATTAGAATAAATTCTTCTAGTCGCGCTATTCTGGTCATGGATATCCGCCGACACTAAGAAACAGCAAAGCAACACTACTAGGTGCATGCTACAGTCACCAGCAGTCATTGATAACCCGTGATCACTCTACTGCAAGTAATGTTTTTATATTTAGAAATATTAATAGGTTAAGCTTTTCGGAAGAGCGACACAGGACCTGAAACGGTTGTTGTATTGGACGTGATGATCATTTGGGCGCGGGGAAGGTTGCGGCAAGGACCGGGTGTCCACTGAGCAAAGTTCAACCAGCGTTGGATAGGGCAAGGTCAAGGTAAGATAAAAATAGCAAGGATCAAACTTGGAACGATAGCAATTGCCGTTCTGACAGGGAAAGGGTCGGCTGATGGAGAAAAGCCCCGCCATATCCCAGTTGTGCGTTCTGCACACTAACCAACATCGGCAGTCATTTAAGCGCCCGGCTTGCCCACCGACCGATATAATTAGAATCTAAGATTATTCGGAGATTTACCTGCAGGAAGCCTCACGAATCAGCTCATCGGATTTCCTGCCACATGTAGCGCTCCGACAGATGGTGTTAGATCCTGTTTCAATCGTCAGATACGCCAATAATGCTCGAACGAGGACCGATATGCTGCAGCAATAGCCGCCCGCCCACTCCCTGTCCTTTGAATAGTACAACCGTCAAACTAGTGACCCTGGCCAAGTTGGAGGATTGAGGTCAGCGCATTCGAAGCACCAATCAAGACGCTCCATCTAATATACTTTCTGTTGGCGGCTTCTGCGCTGATCTCACTCGATGATGTTTATAGATACTACAATTCGAGTTTCGAATACTGGATGGTTGCCTGTATGACTTGTGCATATGGTTACACCGAGGACAAACATGAGCATAACATTATATATGAGCGCCTTCGACTTTGCCTGATCCTCAATTCCTCTTAGCATCTGTCTTGATACCCTCTCCACTCAACGTGAATGTCGATTGTCTAGGGCTGGTCTTTTCTGTTTCCCCCTTCCCCCTTCCCCCCTCTTCTCCTCGAACGACTTTGATAGTCACGAAGAAACTCCTCGACCTACCCTACTGCCTACCAACTGGCCCTTGAATAGCCTGTTCTATCCCTTCGACTCCTGTTCAACTACCATCCACACAATTCTATCTCGCCCCTATACATTAATACTATTGTGGCCGCTGGCTGGCTAAAGCATCCAGAATGCGTTCATCATTTGTTTTCATTGCCTGTCTAACAACATACTCGTTTGCGGCACCGGCATTCTTCGACAATGCATACACGTTCTCAAACGACCTATCGGAGTACCTGGGGAGAGTGAGCAAGCATATTGAGCACTCCAAGGACATACTCAACTCTGCCACGTGCGATACTGCTAGCATTGAACTGCCGACACAAGCGTCCGGGTTACCCTCTCCGTCAGACCAGAAGCTTTTATACGTCGCACTTGGGCGCGGTACACAGGTAAATGAGATTCAACATTGCCCCGCAGGCCAGCACACCGAAGCTAACATCGGACAGAACTATACCTGCGCGACACCATCTTCAAACTCGACACCTGTAGCTGTTGGCGCTGTTGCAAACCTCTACAATGCTACTTGCATCGCAGGAAGGTTCTCGGATATGCTTAACATGCTCCCGAATATTGCATACAGGATCCCCTTGCCAACCGGTGAATCAGATCGCCTTCCACCGGCAAACCTTGATCTCATGGGCCACCATTACTTTGATGGTTCAACACCCGTGTTTAACCTCGACACCACGGAAACACACCAGTATGGCATTGCACGAACAAAGAAAGAGGCGCAGGTTGATGCGCCTTCGAATGCTATCCAAGGGAACAACGGGGCCGTTGCTTGGCTCTATCTCTCAACCACGAGTGGCACGGTAGGGGACTATTCCGGCGTATACCGGGTTGACACTGCTGCGGGATCACCGCCGAAGACATGTAAGGACATGCCATTGGAGTTTACTGTTCAATATGCTGCAAATTACTACTTTTATGGAAAATAACGGTGATTGTTGGGACTCGATGATGTACATAATTGAGGGTTGGAATATTGTATGATTTGCCATGACCTAGTCGCGGAATTATAAGTCAGAAATATACGTATGAGTTTTCTGGAATTAATATAATCAAATTCTGAGCATGCCTGGAGTGACCATTACCGTCAATGTCTCCATGGTTTCTCGTCTTAAGGATCCAATTGGCGCAGGGCTTGCACGAATCAGGTGATCTCGCTATCTATCCACTTCACGTGACTTGAAGTTCCCACGACAGTTGAGGCCGGGGTCTAGTCCACATGCGGACTAGCGCATTCTGATTTTCAAAGTTCCGACGGTCACTCAAGAAAAATCTCGACCGCAACAACGACCAGCAGCACGGCCTCGACCGATTACTGAAAGCAAGTGCAAGTGCGAGAATTCTGCACCAGCTGCTTCGAAAGGTCCAGTAACACTTGCGATTTACAACTTCGCCCATATCGAGCGGGCTTAATTCTTTCCTTCCGGAAAAAAATTTCTTTTGCTCTTGTTGCTAGTACAGCAACCCCATTCGAGACCTTCTCAACCTTTCTTTAAAGTCGATTCTATTCGATTCATATAACACAATGGGCTTCGGTGCTCCTCGCGGACGTGGTGGACCCCCTGGTGGACGTGGTGGACGTGGTGGTGGATTCGGCGGTGGCCGTGGTGGCAGAGGTTTGTTCACGATCAGTTCCATCTGGGACAGCAAGCAGACACCTTGAAGCTCAGCATTGTCGCCCTCCATCTGGCCTCGAAATCTGTTCCTTAAAACCATTGTCAGATCTCTTTCGCCACGGAGGGCGATATTTGCGACAGTTGCTCGAACTGCTGTGCCTTTTGAGGAGAATGATGTGGCTAATACGATCTCTTTACGATGATCTATAGGCGGACTCGGAAGTGCTCCTCGTGGCCGTGGTGGACCTCGCGGTGGAGGTCGTGGTGGACGTGGTGGCCCTCCTGGACGTGGTGGTCGCGGTGGCCGTGGTGGCGCTCGCGGCGGTGCTAAGGGTGGTGCTAAGGGTGGTGCCAAGGTCGTCATTGTAAGTGCTTCATGATTCGCCATGTTACAAGGATATCAGCAGCTGACTCCAGTCATTTTTAGGAACCCCACCGTCATGCCGGTATCTTCGTCGCTCGTGGCGGTAAGGAAGATTTGCTCGTCACCAAGAACCTGACCCCCGGAGAGGCTGTCTACGGCGAGAAGCGCATTGCTGTTGAAACTCCTACCGAGGACGGTACCGTCACCAAGACCGAGTACCGTGTCTGGAACCCTTTCCGTTCCAAGCTGGCTGCTGGTGTTTTGGGTGGTCTTGATGATATCTACATGAAGCCTGGCTCTAAGGTTCTGTACCTTGGTTCCGCCAGCGGTACCTCCGTCAGTCACGTTGCTGATATTGTTGGACCTACTGGTAACGTCTACGCCGTCGAGTTCTCTCACCGTTCCGGTCGTGATCTGATCGGCATGGCCACCCACCGTACCAACGTCGTCCCCATTGTCGACGACGCCCGTCACCCCCTTCGTTACCGTATGCTGGTGCCTATGGTTGACGTTATCTTCGCCGATGTTGCCCAGCCCGACCAGGCCCGTATTGTTGGTCTGAACGCTCACATGTTCCTCAAGGAGGGTGGTGGTGTCATCGTCTCCGTCAAGGCCAACTGTATCGACAGTACCGCCAAGCCGGAGGTTGTTTTCACCCGCGAAGTCCAGAAGATGAGAGAGGAGAGGATCAAGCCCAAGGAGCAGTTGACTCTGGAGCCTTTCGAACGTGATCACTGTATCGTTGCTGGTATCTACAAGCGTTCTGCATAAAAGAAAAATGGGGGTCTGGTCTCTTTTCATGTCTTAATCATTTATGCTTTTTTTTTTCTGGCGTCAAGTGTTCTGTGATATGCTGAAATGTTTCTCTTTGTGCTATCTCGAGGTTTCTTCTGAATGTACTTTTTGAGTCAGAAAATATTCATGTTTCCGATTCCGACTACTCTATTGTGTTCAGTATGGGATCTGGCTGGCTGTCTGGGAAGGAATAGAGAACTATATGATTGCTAATTACCTATATTTCATGCTGCCATTTCTTAGACAGTAACCCGGGTTGACCGTGCTACGGTCATGGGAAGGTGTGAGAATCTTCCGTCTTTCGTTTTCTCCACTTCTGCAGAATGTCCATCACGTCTTGATGAACCAGAAGAAGAGACTCAAATTGTTTAAAGCCCACACTGTTACCCCGAGAACTCGATACCTAGGCAATCTCCATGCCAGCGGCACATGGACGTTGACTTTGTGGTTTCTCGGACTTTCGCCGTTGGTCCGGTCCTGCTTCTAGAGAGTTTTCGACACTTCAGCGGCTCGGTAATCGGATTACTCTCCGACTAACAACCCCAGGACGTTTGTCCACTTCGGAATTGCTGCGTAGTGCAACCTTTCGTAACTGACACCATAATGATGATGGGGGCTTGCAAAGACCGAGAGCGGGGATAATCCCACGCTGAGGAATTACTACTAAGTAATCTCTCCCTCTGACCCCGCAGTATAAATCTTGACAACTGGGATAATTGCTATTTAAGTCACGGTAATATTCTCGTGCGATTTTTTCTAGGCAGTCTCGTGAGATACTGTATATACCCCGCGAGTTGCATCCTGTGCTTACGTCTTGTTTTCTCTTTAAACCACTGGCACTTCGAGTATAAGAGACCATCTTGGGAAGTCAGTCTCGATAGACCAACATGTCGATTCTCATTACCGGGGCGAACGGCTACGTGGGCCAGGAATTGGCTTCCGCCCTCCTTTCCAGCTCCCCTGATATTACGGTAACACTCACAGACATTGTCACGCCAGCCGTTCCCGCTGCTGCCGCTGCTCAAAATACGTCGCGAGTGAAATGTGTACAAGCGGATCTCACCTCGCCGAAGGTGGTTGACGAGATGTTCACTGAGTCTCACCGTTTCGACACTGTCTACCTACTACATGGAATCATGTCCAGTGGCTCCGAGGCTAATTTTGAGCTGGGCATGCGGGTTAACCTTGATGCAACCCGATTTATCCTGGACCGGCTTCGGGCCGTTATGCCTGGAGTGAAAGTGGTCTTTACATCCAGCTTGGCGGTTTACGGTCTTGCGCCTGCTGGGTTCGTCATCGACGAAACAAACTTCCCTCCTGTGCCGTCGTCCTCATACGGATCGCAGAAACTCATCATCGAGACATTGTTGAACGATTACTCGAGGAGGGGGTTCCTGGATGGTAGAGCAGTGCGTCTCCCAACGGTCACTGTTCGAGCTGGCCAGCCCACACAGGCTGCGAGCAGCTTTGCAAGCGACATTATCCGGGAGCCATTTAACGGGAAGAAGGCGATTCTGCCAGTCAGTAAGGAGACGGAGATGTGGATCTGTTCGCCTTATACGGTGGTGAAGAATCTCTTGCATGCGAAGGATATCCCCAAGGAGGCCTTTAGGGAATCGAGGTCGGTCAATCTCCCCGGGTTGAAGGTTAGTATTCAGGAAATGCTGGATGCGCTGGAGGAGATTGGTGGTAAGGAACGAAGGGCATTGGTGGAAGAGAAGTACGATGCCGATGTTGACAAGATTGTGCAAACATGGACGCCTAACTTCAAGACGGATCGTGCGATTAAATTGGGATTTTCGGAGGATGTTCCTATGATTGAGAATATCAGGCAATATGCGAGTCGGTTTGCGTGAGGCTGCTGTGTGAATGTTTTTGTAAATTTAGTATGAGTAGGAATGTGAATATTTCTCTTTTTTCTTGAAAACAAAACAAGAAGGGCCATGAGGATGTATTGTATGCCATTAAAATCACTGTAAAAAGTGTTCGTGACAGAGAAGAACTTCCATGTTGAAACATCGCTTGTCGCGGTTCAAGGGCCGAATCAAGCGTTAGGGAACAGTCGGGATCGAAAACAGTGGTTTGGAAAAGCGGGTCATGTGATTGGCTGACGGGCTGGCGAACAATTTGACTCCCGAACTTCAACCTCTCATCTCCAGGGCTGACCGTCTTTACAGCCGTTGCACCTTTGCTCCATCCCTCCCCTTCCCTCCACATCCACCTTAATTCCTGTCACAATGGCCTCCCGGCGCCTAGCATTCAATTTCAACCAGGCTCTCCGGAGCCGGGCTGCTCTGAAGTCCATCCAGCCCGTCAAGCGAGGCTTCTCTTCCCCGGTTACCCTCCCATCCACCACCCAGTCGACCACCCTCTCTAACGGCTTCACGGTACGGAAAACAAGTATACTCAATCGCTTCGCAAGATCACTAACTGTTCTCAGATCGCTACTGAGTACTCCCCATGGGCCCAGACCTCGACTGTTGGCGTGTGGATCGATGCCGGCAGCAGGGCAGAGACTGACAAGACCAACGGAACCGCGCACTTCCTTGAGCACCTTGCTTTCAAGGTATTTATCTCGCACAATTCTAAGCAGTGAAAACGTTTCTGACAGTTTTCCAGGGCACCAACAAGCGCAGCCAGCACCAATTGGAGCTTGAGATCGAGAACATGGGCGCTCACCTGAACGCTTACACATCGGTACGACCCGGGATTATGATAGAACCAAGAATTGGCTCGGAAACTAATCAGGCACTCAGAGAGAAAACACCGTTTACTACGCCAAGTCCTTCAACAACGATGTTCCCAAGGCCGTTGATATCCTCGCCGACATCCTTCAGAACTCCAAGCTCGAGCCCGGTGCTATTGAGCGTGAGAGGGACGTGATCCTCCGTGAACAGGAGGAGGTTGACAAGCAGTTCGAGGAGGTTGTTTTCGACCACCTTCACGCCACCGCTTACCAGAACCAGCCCCTTGGTCGCACCATCCTCGGCCCCAAGGAGAACATCCAGACCATCTCCCGCGACAACCTGGTTGACTACATCAAGACCAACTACACTGCTGACCGCATGGTCCTTGTTGGTGCCGGTGGTATCCCTCACGAGCAGCTCGTCCGCCTCGCCGAGGAGCACTTCGGCAGCCTCCCCAGCAAGCCCCCTACCTCTGCTGCTCTCGCTCTCACCGCTGAGCAGAAGCGCACCCCCGAGTTCATTGGATCCGAAGTGAGACTCCGTGATGACACCATCCCTACTGCTCACATT